AAGTTGTATAAAAAGATTATATAAAAATATTATTTTTATTTTTAATTATGATAATAAAATATAAAAATACATAAATGAAGATATGAAAAAGAAAGTTTAGAAAAAAATGATCTCCAATCAAAAACACCTTATGATTTCCACCCCTAAAGTCATATTGGACCCATGGCTTTTGTTTTATTTTCCTTTTAAATTCTTTTAAATTCATGATGCCTCATCTACTTACCTTTTTCATTTTTTGTTTTTTCTTTAAACACAAAAGAAAAATTCCCGTGATGAATCATGATCATGGTTCATGATGGCTCAATCTCTCTCTCTCTCTCTCTCTCTCTGTTTTGGTAGAGGACATGATAGCTCTCTGTTACCGTGGAAATAACGTTGCAAAGTTCTATTGCTATTCCCGGCGCCTGTGCCTTCTCATCTTTGCCATCCAATTCTACTCTACGCTCCTCATATTGTATTCCTTCCCTCTGAAACTAACCTCGCTTCTCGATCCATCCTCTTTGAAACTTCCTATTTTTCACAATTTCATTTCGTTTTGTTTCTCCCAAGTTGTTTTGTTTACAAAAGCAAGTCCTTCCAACTTTTTTTTTTTCTCCTGACCAATTAAAGAAACCACTGTGTCACCTCTGCTATTCTCACCATTTGATCCATCTGCTAGTGGATCGTCTCTGTGAAGCTTCTATTTATTTTTCATCATTTCATTTTGTTTCGTTTCTTCCAAATTGTTTTGCCCATCATTTTTGAAAATTTCTTGCCCAAAAAAAGAAAAAGAAAAAGAAAAAAGAACCCAGGTCCATTCATATTCACTTTGATTCTGTCCAACCTCTTTATCTCACTTCTGCTATTCTCACCATCTCGTTCATTTGGTGGTTCTTTTCTTGTCTCTGTACTTCTGTTATTTGTGTATTGTTTTGTGTTTGTCTTCCAATTATTAAAAAAAAAAAAAGTGGAAATGTCGGGCGCCGAAGTTGGTATTGCTATTGCTGGCAATGTTGCGGGCAATGTTGCAGAGAAGCTGGTTGATAGAATTTTCAATCTAATCTGGAACAGAATAGCTCGTGTGTTCAAATGGAAGACTAATTTAAAGAATCTGGAGAAGGAAGTTAAGAAGCTGGTCGCTGAAAGAGATAGTGTGCTGCAATTTATGGAAGCTGCTGGCAGAAGAGGAGAAGTCGCTGGGCCGAAGGTCAAGATTTGGCTGACTAAAGCTAAGGAGTACATTGGCGAGGATGATGAAGATAAAACCAGGAAGAAATTGGGGGAAGCTGCTGACAAAAAAGGGAAAGAAGTCATGCCGACTGACAATAAGAGGCTGAATGATGCATACGAGTTCTTTAAAGAGAAGCATGGGTTAAAGGATGACGAAGAGGAAGCTAAGAAGAAGCGTTTGGCTGGGATGTGTTGCAATCCCAGGGCACGTGACAAAATCAGCAAGAAAGCAGAGAAGTATTTGGTGGCTGTAACTGAACTGCTACAAGAAGCTGACAAATCCAACTTCGCGGGTTCCTACCGTCCTCCAAATTCTACGGCACCCGTTGATAAAGGTTTTGAGGACTTTGGGTCAAGAACGCCTGATTTGGACCGTATTATGGAGGCTTTGAGAAGGGCTGGCACTGACAAGATAGGTGTGTATGGAATGCCTGGTGTTGGAAAGACCATGTTAGCCAAAGAAGTTTTCAGACGAGCTGAGGAAGCCCACTTATTTGATTCAATTGTATTCGCTTCTGTGGCAAAGGATCCGGACTTGAAAAGAATTCAAGGAGAAATTGCTGACAACTTAGACCTACAGCTTCATGGGGAGACTGAAGTTGGGAGAGCAAAGCAACTAAAGGATTATCTGAAGAAAAAGAAGAGGATTCTTGTGATTTTAGATGACATCTGGTCGAGGCTAGATTTGGATGAACTTGGAATTCCTTTTGAAGAGATAAAGAATGAGGCATGGTTAAAAAAGAATGAGGCAAGTTCAATTGGTGAAGAACAGATGCAATGCAAGATTTTCTGCACATCTCGATTTCCCAATGTCTTATCAGATGACATGGATACTAATCAAAATTTTAATGTTCACTCATTGCGAGCTGACGAAGCATGGGAGCTTTTGAAGAAGATAGTTGGTCCTGAAATTGAAAATCCTGGCTTGCGGGATACAGCAATGGATATTGCCAAAGAATGTGCTGGGCTACCACTAGCTATTCAATCTGTTGGCAAGGCTTTGAGAGGAAAGGGATCTTATGAATGGAAGGATGCTCTGCTACGACTGCAAACGCCCTCTCCGGAGAACTTCACGGGGATCTCTGCAAATGTTTATTCTGCAATTGGATTGAGTTACGACTACTTAGAAGGAGAAGACTTAAAGCAAACTTTCTTGCTTTGTGGTTTGCTTGGACAGAGTGCTTATGTAGAAGACTTGCTAACATATGGCATTGGTTTGGGCTTATTTCATAATGTCAAGACAATCGGACAAGCACGAGACAGGGTACTAACATGGGTTAGGAAGCTAAAATCTTGTTCTTTGTTGCTTGATGATTCTAGCAATACTCACATTAATATGCATGATATTGTTCTTGATGTTGCCATATCAATTGCCTCAAGGGACTACCATGCGTTATCATTAATAGATGACAACGTACCTGAAAAGTGGTCAGATAGGGAGGCCATGGGAGATGTCAAATGGATTAGTATGCGACATGCTAATATTAGTGAGCTCCCTGATGAGCTGGAATGTCGGCAACTTACCTTATTTCATTTAGCTAGCAAGAATCCTTCTATGAAAATTCCAGACAATTTTTTCCGGAGAATGCCAAATCTCAGAGTCTTGAATTTTACGACGATGTATTTCTCATCCATGCCTTCATCAATTTGCCTTCTGAAAAAACTCCGTGCATTACATATCAATGACAGTGCTATAAAAGAAATAGCTATTGTTGCAGAGCTGAGTGGTTTGGAAGTACTTAGCCTTTCAAGAAGTGATATTGAAGAGTTGCCAACGGAAATTGGACATCTGACCCAACTAAAGTCTTTAGATTTGAATGATTGTACCAAGCTCAAAGTGATACGACCCCATGTCTTAGAGAGTTTGTCCAGGCTAGAAGAACTGTATCTGCAAAACAGCTTCAATCAATGGGATGCTAACGGACTTGGAAATCAAAGAAATGCTAGCCTTGCTGAGTTGAAGAATTTGCATAACCTAGTTGCCTTAGATGTGCATGCATGTGATGTCCAAATTATTCCAGAAAACTTATTCTCTGAAAGGTTGAATAGATACAAGATATTCATTGGAGAGGTGTGGAACAGCTGGGATGGTTCTTTCAAAGGCTCAAAAATATTGAAGCTGGAGTTGAATACAAGAATTACTAGTGACCATTCTATTTGCATGTTGTTAAAGAAAACAGAACAACTACATGTTGAGAAACTGAAGGGTGTGAAGAATATAGTTCCTGAGTTAGATGTTGAAGATTTTCAGGAACTGAAGTGTCTTTACGTTAAAAATGCTCCTGAGATTCAGCATATCATTAACTCAGTGGGGGGGATTCCTTGCCATGTATTTCCCTTGTTAGAAGTACTATTTCTTCAGAATTTGAATAATATGGTGAAGATTTGTCCTGGCCAGCTTGCAGAAACTTCTTTTAGAAGATTGAGAACTATAACCGTCGAACGTTGTAATCAGCTAGAGAGTTTGTTCCCATTCTCCATAGCTAGACGACTTCAACTTAAGGAAATTAGAGTAACAAAGTGCTCTAATATGCTAGAGATTGTTGATGAGGAAGGGCAAGTGACCACTAATGATATAGCTGAAGCAGATGAGAATTTTGAGTTTGAACATCTACAGTTCTTGAAATTGCAGTATTTGCCAAAGTTCATTAGATTGTGCCATGGATTTGTAGGAGCAAGTGATTCAAGGTCCAAGCCTGCATCACTTTTCAATGAAAAGGTATTTATAGTTCTTCTTTTATACAGCATATATAGCACATAAACCCTAAATAGATTAATTAATAGGAACTTGAGATCTCTACTAGGCATTGTACTCTATTGGCTGGGCTTGATTGTGTTATAAGTAAACAATTGGCCCTGTTTAGATAAAAATACAAATGTGTGATTGAGAATTAAGTAAAGCATTTTTTTTTTTTGTAGAATTTGTTTTGAAACATATACGTTTTTGGTTCATGGAAGAAAAATAAAATGAAAATAAACAAAAATGAATTTTTTTTGGTTGTTTATAATGTGATTCTATTAAAAGTAAAGCAAATACAATTTATAGTGAGACTAAATCATAAGCTCTTTTTTTTTTTTTTTTTCAACTTCTAAAATCTTTCTTTTCCTGAATATCTTCCATGAACCAAGCATAACATTAAATTCCTATGGGTCAAAATCATTGCAGGAGCTTCCAACCTTTAATCTTGATGTTTGCTTAGATGCCTTTAATTAGACATATATTTTGAATTATATTGGGACAAAGAATCATGTGATTGTTTTGCAGATTGTCTTTCCAAACCTCAAGAAGTTGGAGTTGTCCTCGCTCAACATTGAAAGTATATGGAGCAGTCAGCTTTCTGCAAAATCCTGCTGTTTTCAGAGTCTGACAGATTTGATCATTAAGGGCTGTCATCATTTGAAACAGCTATTGTCATTCTCTGTGGCTAAATGTCTGGTTCAGCTTAGATACCTTCACATAAGCAAATGCAAGAGGATGAGAGAGATAATTGCAGCAGAGGATCCAGAAGAAATGGAAGATTTGAATTTGTTCTCCAACTTAAACAACCTGTATATGGGAGATCTTGAAAACCTTAGTAGGTTTTGCTCCGGAAACTATAGTATTAAATTCACAGCCTTGAAGAAATTGGTTATATGCAATTGTCCAGAATTGAACGGGTTCATAGTCAATGAGGGCACAGATGTCACAGGTGGAATACGGCCCCTCTTTAATGAAAAGGTACAAATTTTTATTTCAGTTTCATTTTGGCCTTAATTTTAGTAACTAATTCTGCTCCCTTAATACTTTGATTAATTTGACAAATTATGCAGATTGCTTTTCCCAGCTTGGAACAATTGGAAATCAGGAGCTTGGAGAAGTTGCGGATCATATGGCACCACCAACTCCCTGCAGATTCGTTCTGCAAACTAAAAAATTTATCCATTTCATATTGTGATAAATTATTGAATATATTTCCATCTTATAAGCTTGCCAGATTATTGACATCAGTGGAGGAGTTGAGCGTAACATATTGTGATGGTCTAGAAGAGATATTTGAACTTGGGGAATTGAATGTGGAAGAGTCACATGCTGTGGTAAACAGTCAGTTAAGAAATTTGTTTGTTACGCGTTTACCAAGCTTGAAGCATTTGTGGAGCAAGTATCCCTGCAGAATTCTCACTTTCTGGAACTTGTGGTCTGTGTCAGTTTTGAGTTGCAAGAACCTCCAAAATATATTTCCAGCTTCATTGGCTAAGGACCTTCAGCAACTTGAAGTGTTGAAGATAAAATTTTGCGATGTGATGGAGGAAGTTGTAGGATTGGAAGTAGGAGATGAAGCAGTTCCTACGTTTGCGCTTCGTCATTTATCTACTATTGACCTGTGGGATCTACCAAGTCTCAAATATTTCTATCCTCGAAAACACATAATAGAGTGCCCCAAGTTAAAAGATTTCTATGCATCTGGTTGCGGCTCTTCAGTAGAAACAAAAGGAGAAAGGCTTGGCATATCTCCGATTCAACAACTGCTTTTCTCTATGGAAAAGGTATGAGCCTCAGTTACAAAACAATTTTATAGTAACTATTTTTTTTTGTCCTTTTTGGCTTTTGCTTCCGAGTTTTGGTTAGATCTATTACGTAGC